AATCATTTTATTGCACTTTTCCGCGATCTTTTTATTTTATTTTGTGTGTCAACCTGAAATATATCACGAGAGTTATTTCCCTTTACTATGGCTATAGTTTGATTCATTATTGAAACTGGTTGATCAAGACGAAAGCGTTATATGTGTCGCTTCTCAACAAAATGGTTGCAGACGAAAGCACGTCTATTCCCACGAAATGATTCTGCCTCTATGTCTGTGGGGCGTCGTTTTAAACATGACGAAGATATTTTCAATATCCGTTTTCGAGAAAAATGAAGGCACAACCCGCACGATCGTTAAAAACGTGTTGAAGGGGTTTCACACTTAGAGTTCGTGGCAAATCGTGTGCGAGTCTCGGAGTCGTGCATCACGAAAAATCCCGATGTCATACTCATTGATTTGTTTGACAATAAAAAAAGACGAATGTTTCCCCCCCCCAGAAAATTATCAAGCTGTCAAATTAGCTCTTTAAAAAAAAATCTGAAAAAAAAACCCCGACCTACCGACCCTTCTCCTCGATTGTGGGTCGGGTTTGGCGAAACAAAGATATTTTTAAGGTCAGCCTCATAGGCTAAATGAGGGAGATTCAAACAGTACATAAGAACTATTATATTTTCCACTAAAAATAAGTTTGACATATGGTTTTGGGATTAACAACTTAATTAGACTTCATCATCATTAGCAGTACTGTCCTCGGTTGGTTTTCCTCATGCTTGATTGGAAATTCGGGCCTAGATTGTTCACCCTTTTTAAATAAAGAAATTATTATTATAAGAATGATCATTTTTACGCAGATGATTCCCAGATCAATTTTTTTAAACAAGACCATGTCAGTCAAAACCTAACCTGCTCCAACATGGAAGACTGTATCAAAAATGTGAAATCCTGGATGGACACAAACATGTTGAAACTTATAAATTCTGATAAGACTGATATCGTAGTTGTAGGCCCAGCTTTCAGATTGGAAAAATGTGAAATCAAACATCTATATTTTGGACAATCAGCTATAAACTTTAAAACATCAGTTAGATGTCTTGGTCTGATAATGGACAATAATCTTTTTATTGAATACCATATTGGTTCTCTGTGTAAAACCTGTAGTTACCACCTCAGGAATATATCAACACGCCATCTGATCACCAAAGATGCTGCGTCAACACAGGTTCATTGTTTGGTCATTTCCCTGGCTTGATTACTGGAATAGTAATTTAATTGGTATAACAAATGAACAATCACAACATTTATCATAGAATTCAAAGCAAAGCCGCTAGAATAATCTGTATTCTCCAGTATTGACTTCTTTACATTGGCTTCGGATAAATGAGCGAATTGAATTCAAATTGCTGTGTCTGACATACCAATCAGTGAATGGAACAGCACCTTCATACATGTACCTACAAAGCTTATACATCACCATTCTTCATCTAGAAAACATCTATCAAATGACAAATTTCTTCTAACGATTCACAATTACAACTGCTGCAATAGACTGGAACAATCTTCCTATCCACCTCAAACCAGCGGCTGCCAGGCAGGATACGCCCACATTTTCTAGGGATGGATAGAGAACAAGCTAACAAGAAAGTGATTTTTCCTACAATCAAGGACCATAATTCAGGAAATTACAATTCAATATGCGCGAATATTGAAAGGAACTAAGATCTTTGTGTTATAAACTTACATTTCAAGTTTCAACAAAATCGGATAAAAATTGTGACCTCTATATGGTCTACAACCTTGATATACCATATTTTTATGCTATTTGAGAACGAACGGCGGCCATTTTGTTTGTAAGTTTTGGGCCCATTTTCACGAAATTCAAACTCAGTCGTCCTTAGGGTTTAACGGTGATATAATAATACGTTTTTTAAAATTGTGGATGACGGACGGACGGACAGGGGCAACGACAATATACATCCACATAAAAACGTGGGCATATAAAAATGCCCATCTTTATCGACATTCAAAACCTTATATCATTACATGTGCCGGTACATAAAAAAGGAGAATAATTTTCTTTCTGTACAAAAGTTTCTGAGTAAAAAATATATCTTACATAAAGCTAACTATCATATTATTCAAAGGAATCAAGATAGTCGGCAAAAATGACACTTGACCAGTAACTAAGCAGTGAACAATCAACCAGCTCCAAATAAATTGGATTTAATTTTGATAAATTTTATTTGCAGTGAATTGCTTGTGTTGGCAGGTTTACACTATGTGTGGTCACCTTGTTGATATTTCTTAATAGTTTCAACTCTGCCATTTTCTTCATATTGAGATAAACGAGTTTCAAAGACATAATGCATAGAAATTGATTTAAGATGTAAGTGGAAGGTGCCAACATTTCTTGTAATGACTTTCCAATTAGGTTTAAGAATTCTAGCCATAAAGTGTGCTACAATTTCCATTATTAACTTAATGTTCTTAAATTTTTTTATTTTGCACCCCTTGGCAGAATTAGAGTTCTTTCCTTTTATTGTGCAAAGCAAGGTTTATCACAAGAGCATTTTTTGATTTTATTCAAAAATAATGGCCTCTAGAGTTACGTCATCTGTGAATGCTCTGGTAGTTTTATTTTTCGAAAGATTCACAACCTTAATGGACTGCTCAAATGTGTGTTTCATTGTCTGCCAATTTATCTTTTTACAAGAACTTGCTTGTTTATGTTGATATTCACTTTTTTTAATCATGGCCTTTCTGTTTTATATCACTGAATCTTAATGCTAAAAGACTCTTTTTCTTATATTCCTGCTAATGATAGATTACTGGCACTCGTTTTACACTTTTTACAAACAAATAGTTTACCGATATATCAAAATTTAAACACATGAAGAATTAAAGGCCTGGTTACTGTGGGCCCCTGCTAACATCATAAATACTGCGCGCACGTAGGTGCCCATTTTTTAGTTAATGACATTCGAGTAAGGTGCCCGATTCATCATGTTCATAATCACCCCAAGCTGGACATTATCAGCTTTTTAATGATCAATACTATTCACATTAGAGATGTAAACTGACCACCAGGTAGTACAAGCAACTTAATACGACAGTAATTAGACATTTCCATCAATCAAAATCGGATTTTATCAGCTTGATGGGACAGTGAGTGCGAGTGATTTTACATTCAAAAGTACTCTCCGCTGAGGCTTGAGTGCATATAGAATTCACAGATTCTTTATCAAAATCTACTTTTAGAAATAATATGGTAGTGTTCAGAAACTTGGAGTGTCACTGGTTCAACTCATAGCATTGTCAAGTTTCATTTCCAAAGATCCAATTGCAATTATAATTTCTAGTAATGCATTTCAGATTACTGGTACCTGGTATGAAAAAGGAAATCGCCAAGATCACTGGTATTAAATAAATATTTCTTTAAAGGGAAAACATTTAATTCCATTTGCAATGTATACCTCCAGCAAAGTCTAAGTGACATCTTGTAAATCCGATGACAAACCAAATTCACTACTAGATTTTGTAGGATACATGCAAAAGATTACTGGTATGAAAAAGGAAAACACCAAGATCATTAGCATTAAATAAATATTTCTTTAAAACTAGGGAAAACATTTAATTCCATTTGCAATGTATACCTCCAGCAAAGTCAAAGTGACATCTTGTAAATGTATTTGAAGTAACAAAGATATATTTAGCAGCTTAGTCGTCTGTGTAGTCCATAAAGGTTGTCGCATTACGATTCTTTAGGTTAATAAAAAGCAAAATGTGGGCATATAAAAAGCAATCAAGGGCTATAGCTCAGCAAAATATTATCAGAAATCGCTGAGGTAAGGTAAAGTAAGGTAAACAACATTATAAATTTTAACAAGATTGTATGATAAATGTAGTCTGTAGGATGTCCACAACAAGATGTGGATGACGGGTGACAGGAATTTAACTGAATAAAAAATTATTTTAAGTTAGTATGTATCCCCACCAAAATTATACTAGGGATTTTTTTTGTACAGATTTACTTGATAAAGACCCAAATGATTTGGGTTTGTAATGTTAAACATACATTACACAAGAGCTAAATCTGCCAATTGCAGGTCTTTCTTTAGGCCTGAAATGTTATCTAAATTAATTATTAAGACATCAATTAACTTATCCTGACCATAATCAACTCCTGATGTCATCGCTAGCCTGCGATATTTACTGGATTAGAATCCGAACTGCTGCTCAACGCTCATTGATAATTAAATTAAAAGATAGGTTGCAAGGCAACGAAACATACGCCCACAGCAGCTATATTGTCCGGGCAGTCAACAAGAGTTGTCGCATATTTTTACTTTTTTCGGTAATGAATCATTTATAATACATTAAAATCTGATTAAGAGTAACAACTCATTAAGTAATTATCAGAAAACCATTAGAATTTGTTCGGTTTTTATAAAGTTCTGCGCCATGCTAACGTTTAGCATACGAAACTTTTAACATCATGGATTTAGCTGTTCAAGTCATAAAGATTCATTGAAAATCAATATACTTGTTCGTCTCAAGACCTTAAACACTGTGTATAAATTTAAAGTCAATCGGATATTAACTTTAGCCTCTAGAGCGTCCACAAGCAATTGTGGACGCCGGACGGACGGACGGACGGGGGCGACGACAATATACGACCACATTCAATGTGGGCGTATAAAAATGGATAATCGAGACTGTTTTTTATCGTACCGACTTTAGTAATGATAATTGAGGCTAGGTCCAAAATTTAATTGCAAATTCTCGGTTCAGAGTGGATCAATTTGACTGAAATTTTCAGCAAATTCCCTTTACATTATCTAGTTTTTATAGGGAGAACTGCCAGCTCTTTATCTAATCTCCCATAATGTATCTGTTAATGCTATACCCTTGCCACTGCCTGCGTTTTACAATATGATGTTAATGTAAACATACTCATGTCATTGCTAGGTCTTTTGATATGAAATATTTACCATTGGATGTGCACTGATATATCAATTGATTTAATTATTTACTATAAATTTTCTAACTGGAATACATACCAGCCCATACTAAATGGAGTGCCTGGGCTTTTCTTGCAATGACCTTGACCCACATGTGGCCTTCTCCTGCTACCACATCAACAGTGAGACTGTCTTGTTTCCCTGGGGACGAGAATGATTGAAGCACTTGAATAACTCCTGGCAGGAACTCAGCTGCATGAACCACTCCAGCATAATGACTTAAATTGCTACTCTTTAAATGACTGTTGGAGTTCTGTTTCCCATTCTTTTTTAACTGAAAAAATTAACAATAAAAATCTTGGTCAAAACATTTAATTCATTATTTAATTAAAGTTGGTCTGCAATTGCAGATGTTCCCATAGAAACAAATCTATTAAACTTCTAGAAGTAGCTTCATGTTCCCTGTATATAAAGACCCCATAGAAAAAAATTCCAGAAATAAATGTTATTAAAATTGTCGCAACCTGGCTTATTTTTTCCACAGGCACTTTCCACATTCTACATTATCTTGTCTAGCAATAGCATACTATACTATAATATTAAAGGGACAATAACACTCTTGCTGGCTTGAAAGCTCCAGAAAATAAATAATATCTCTATCTAAGTACTAGATGTTTAAGTGTCCTACCTGTTGTGTAAATTATCCATTACATCCTATTTTACTTGTCCAGAGGGTTTGAAAATATTTTTAAATCGAAGTTTCATTTGAAAAGGTTTACGTTAGACGTTTCCAACCATTATGTTGAATTTTTCAAAATTTTTAAATAAGGTGTGTTAAGATGAAATTTGTATCATCAATTAATTGAAATATTCTAAAATAGTACAATTTGTTGACCAGAATAAAGATTGGGACATATTATTCAGTTACAACAAGAGTGGTATTGAGCCTTTAACAGGGTATATCACATGCGATATTGTTTCGAATTGGTGAGGACATTTCTTCGTCGATTATCTCACAATACTCACTACCATGTAATACTCTACTTCCGTTTTATTGCAGAATACACTTTATCTAGTTCTTAGAGTTATACAACCCCCAAAGTCACTAAATTGATTATTTCATAGTGTTATTTTTTACAATTCCAACTTTAAGCACTGTTGTGTTGTAAATACCAGCTTCATTGGACCGAATGTGACCCGAATGCTGGGTCAAGGGAATTCCCTTTTATTTGATTACCCAGTCTCTGGTAAAATCTGATACAACGGATAGTTTAATGAAGGGACGGTGTGATCTAGACTGTCACTAATGAAAATTGTATTTGCATTAACCAATCAGAAACAAGATGACTAGTTATCACCATCCCGCGCCCTTGCACTTCTTTGGAAGGCATAAACACTTCTTTGAAATGAAATGAAATGAAATGTGGTTTTATGGCAAGGCAGCTCCAAGAGGGCTATATTGCGCCAAATATATGTTGACATATACAAGACAATTTAAATAATATCACATTTATATATTAATATACAACAATAAAAACATGTATCACAGTCAATATAATTAAAATTAAATAACAAAATTTAATGTATATTAATAGTTAAAATATAAATCATGAAAAACAAAAATATATACAAATTAACATTTTCTATAAAAATTTGTCTCTTTTAAAAATTTTAGCATTTTACAATATAGCTCCGGTTGAGCAAATAATTGACGAAGTGACTGGCATCGGTAATAATTTGATCTAATATCTTTGAGATACTTGCACTCTATCAAAATGTGGTTAACTGTTAAAGGAACATGTTAGTGTTCTCATTCTGGCTGAGGCACTCACTTCAAGATGAAAATGTGTGTTAAAAAAGTATGACCTATGCGAGAGCGACACCAAACAACCTCATCTCTCCTGTTGGTTTGATAGGAGCTTGGCCAATCTCCTAAGAGAGGCTTAATGTGATGAAGTTTGTTTGTGCATGCAAGATCCCAAGACTGTTGATAACATTTTCAAAATCTTTATAAGCTGTTAAGAATTTGGATATGGGAAGATCTAAAGTAGACTTGGCAGCCGAGTCTGCTTGATCATGCCCTTTGATATCCTTTGACCGGGGAACCAGCAAAGGACAGTGTCCTTGCTGATGAACTCATTTGACAATAGCAGATGATAAATGTCTGCTACAAATGGGTGATATGCTGTTTGTTACTAATTGCTTGTAACGAGAACAAAGAATCAGAAGAGATAATGTGTTTTAAAACTGATGAGGACTGAATGAATTCTAAGCCTTGGAGAATAGCCTGGAGGTCAGCTGTAAAAAGAGACACAGCAGGTGGTAGGCGAACAGATACAAGTTCTTGGAATATCAATGGGACGAGTCAAAAGATTTATACTCTCCCTGTAAGATTTGCACAACAAATTTGCCTGCCTCAATCGGCCGCTGTATGTTGAACAATAAGCTTATACATCAGAAAATAAAATACGATAATACAGGGCTTCCACTTCAAAATCTTCCCAGTCGGTCATTTTTCACACGGAGAAAGTGATGTTGTTTTTAGCACATAATAAGAAGCCACAAAACAACATGCTATTGATCGAAGTGTCGATCGGGTTTAATTGGCCCCCCCCCAAAAATAAAGGAACACAGGTAATATTTCGGATATAAAGATATATTTAAAGTTCCATCATAATCAGATAAAAATTGTGATTTCTAGAGGGTCCAAACCTTAGTATTACATACTTATACACTATTTACGTACAAGGAGCGGCCATTTTGTAAGGCAGTTTTGGTCTGATTTTAATGAAATTCAAACTCAAACGTCAATAGTGTTTAACGGTGATACATATAAGTGTTAAAAATTGTGACCTCTAGAGGGTCTACAAGCTAAAAACGTGACTCGTACAATCAGGGGCCATAATCCAGGAAGTTACGGTTCGAAAGAAACCATGCAAGATCTTTTGATTATTATCATACATTCAAGTTTCATCAAAATTAGATAAAAATTGTAACTTCTTTAATGTCCACAACCTTGGTTATGAGTCACCATTACATACTTTTACAAGAAGCGGACATTTGGGTCAGATTTTTACGAAATTCAAACTCAACCTTTATTGATGTGTAACGATGAAATATTTAAACAATTTTTAAAATTGAATACAAATTGCATTTTGTCTGGCAGTTTTGGTCTGATTTTCACAAAATTCGAACTCAACCACCATTAGGGTGTAGAGGTGATATATTCATATGTTTTGTTAAATTGGATAAAAAATTATGATCTCTAGAGTGACCACAAGCTAAAAACACAATATTTTGTACAATCAAGGGCCATAATTCTGGAAGTTACGATCTGATATAAACGAATATTGAAAGGCACCAAGATCTTTGGGTTATAAACATGTATTTCAAGTTTCCTCAAAATCATATCAAAATTGTGACCTCTAGAGGGTCCAGAACAACAGACAGTTCCGTGGAGACAGGAATTACCCATAATTTTTGGCGTTCTCAGCATCTTATGTGGCAATTCGAGGTAACTATGTACGCTGTCCTTGTATTAGTACAGTGCTATACAACACAAATTACTTTTTGAAAGCAAAAAAAAAAAACTCTTGTTAAAAACTGCAATTTTTTTTTATAAGAAACCATATTATAATAGGCAGGCACTATTGTGCTGGCCCTTTAGTAATCAATTTTTTCATTGGCTGAAACATTTCTTATTTGCATTCTCGCCATCTTATATGGCAACTCACGGTAAGTAGGTACGCTGTCCTTGAATTAGTACAGCACTATACAACACAAATTACTTCTTGAAAACAAAAAGAAAAACCTTGTTAAAAACTGCTAAAAAATAAAAAAATATAAGAAACCATATTATAATAGGCAGGCAACTATCGTACTGGCCTCTAGTTATTGGCTGAAACATTTATTTGTCACTCCAATCATATCTTGTGTACTAAATTACAATATGGCTAGCGATGACGGTTCCACTTCTTACTTAATACTCATCGTTTCAGCAACTAACCTCTCACTCTTGATCAATATGAATATCGTGATATAAGAGACAGTAAGAAATGATTTTACTTGAACTCTAAAGTAAAAACGTACTAATTTTATGTAATACAAGCCAACGGGGAGGCTGATGTCCCCCTGCCAAAATCCCAAAATAAATAGACGACACATATTAATTAATCGCACATGTATCGAGCAATCAAACTATAAAGTTTCATCACTCTCTATCAGATAGAATCAAGATTATCTTGTCCCAAAGCATCGACTAATGAAATTGATCAGCTCTGCTTAGCTTCAGCTCGAAATGTTAATCAATGAACTTAGTGAAGACATTCACCTAATGAACATCTACATCAACTTTAAACATCTACCTCAATTAAAAGCAGCGTTGTTATGTTCCAAAGTCTTGACCAATCAAATTGCTTATCGCTCCTTAGCCTAAGCAGAAAATTCTCACCGTTGAACTTAGTCAAGGTAATGATATACTGAATCTATATTCAGAGTTATAACCAAAGTTATCGTGCCCCAAAGCATCAACGAATCAGATTGCTTTCTGCTTACCGTAAGCAGACAATGTTCATCAGCGAACTCCATCAAGGCATTCACATAATAAATGCCTACACCAAATTTGAACATTCTAACTCAATTAGAAGGAGAGTTATTGTGTTCCAAAGTCTCGACCAATCAAATTACTTATTGCTCTACTTACCCTCGACAGAAAATGTTCCTTATCGACCTTAGTCAAGGTATTGATGTAATAAAGCTATACACCAAGTGTCCTCACTCTCACTTAATTAGAACTAAAGTTATCGTGTCCCAAAGCATCAACCAATCAAATTGCTTATCTCTGCTTACCCTAAGCAGAAAATTCTCATCTTCAAACTCCATCAAGGCATTCGCCTAATAGAAACCGACGCCAAGTGTGAACATTCTAACTCAATTAGAATGTGAGAGTTATTGTGTTTAAATCAACATTGATGCTGTGGTCTTACCGGAAAAAGATGGGCTTCTGATATCCAATATTTAAGACAAAATAAACATTTAACCATTGAATGTAAATCAGTAATATGTATATACATTCATATTACAGTATTATATGCGTTGCGACCCAATTGTGTCAATTTCTAGGTCCCAAATGTTAGCGATTTAGCTCCTTTAAGAAATTTTAATCCTTTCAAGTGCCTATGAATTTTTTCATGCAAAATGCTTTCTAGATATTTCTTAAGAGCATTGGAGAAATAAAACGAAACCAAATGAAGTTGGTCACAAGATAAACTGAGGGAACTTCACGTACTCATTCTGACAGTAATGATGATTTTTCTTAGTTCATACTTTTCAGGA